GTAAATAATTAAAAACCAGAAGAATAAAATTAAAAATTTAGTAATTAGTAAAAAATCAGCAGGTTTGAATTTCTTTGAAATAAATTCTTCTAAATATAAATTAAAACTATTGAAAAAATTTGTCGTGAATTAATTTCTCACGGTTGCTGGGATACAGAGCAGAACAATTTGTGAAGCCTTCTGATATATAGTAATTGACTCAGCTCTCCTACGTCTTCCTACCATTTTCCTTTCCTTTCAGAACTTTCGTTTATGTCGTAGAATTTTTTTCTACGACACAACGATATATACATAATATTGAAACAATAAAAAATAGGACACCGCCTACTCTTAATTATAAGAAATGGAATGTTCCTCTTGTAATTACAAATCTATTTTTGTTGCCTTTAAGAAGGGATTATTCTGGAGCAATTTTAATTGATACTAAAAGTATTGATACAAAAAAATAATTGAAAATTAATTGTATATTAGATATTGTTAATTTTAAATGAAGATTGAAATTAAGGAGTTGGGGATTTAAATTAGATATTAATTTTCATATGTTGAGAATTTTTTACACTTTATCAATTTAATTGACACCAGTTCTATAAACCAGTTCGGATTATTTCTCTTATTTTTAATAATTTAAAAAGAGCACTTTAGAAGAAAACTTCTAATGCGGAATTATTAACTGTAATTTCTCACAGCATGCAAAATTAATGGAATTATATTAAAATTTATTCTAATAATTGTTGAAAACTCGAGATTTCGAGGCACGAATTCAAGTCCTGAATTATATTTGTATTAATCAAAAGGTACACCAGAAACAGAGCGGATGTCATATTAACTTTCAGCAAAATATTTTTTAATTGCGGAAATTGAAAAAAGACCAATGAACAAGCACTTGTTACGTGCCGGTATTAACGCCTGAGGCGATCCATCGGTTCATCGTTCCGATGAATGTCAGATTACGCATATGCAGTATATCCACATCATGTTCTTCTTTTCTTTATTATTTGCTTTTCTTTTTTAATAACTGGTTCGATATAAAACGCTCGTACACTATGAAAAGATTTATTTAATAACTTTACAAAACTCGATTTGAAATTTTTGACAATTTTTTGCCAGGGCAAATAATTTTTAATTTACGATTACTTACACTAGCAGGAAAAGTTGTAAAAAAATGATTTTTTAATAAAACCGCATGTGTGAAAAAAAATGTTCATTAAGAGTTAAAATATCCAATAACTAATGTCAATTTGAATTAATTCAAAAAGCCTCAAGCAATACTCGAGTCCATATAGAAAATTTAATGTTAACTTTGGAGAATTCGGTTAAATAGAGAAAATCAGGGTTGCCACGCTTTTGCTCATTTCAAATTCCCTGACTTTTCCAGGTTGACAAACGGAATTTTTCCAGGTTTTTAAAACTACAATTATATTTTACAAAATTAAACAATTTGCCATTATAATTTTTCCATAAAAATTAAAATTCTTCAGAAGATTTAAATTCAAACCTTTTTGAAATTAAACAACTTGTAAAAAATTGCTATAAAACATGAAGAAAATAATCCATCACTTTGTGAGTCTTTGACTCGGAGCAATCGATATCTTCGTATTTTATAATAATTAAAAATTACCGACTGATAAAATCATTACTTTATATTTTAAGAATATTGCTTCTGTAACTTTTTCCAAATTAATACTTTCATCACTTCAATTCAATTATTGTTCTCCAGAATTTTCAACTAAAATTCTTTTTTAAATTAATTATTTTTAATCATTTAAAAATAAAATTCTTTAAGAATTTTCACATCTATTTGTTTACATTATAAAATTTTATGAAATTTCGATTATTTGAAAATTCACAATTAAAAATATATTATAAAATAAAGGCATGAAATAATTTTAAAAAAAATTAAATCTACACAATTTTCAGTTAAAAGTATGAAAAATTCAGACATTCAAAAATTATAATTTGAAACCTTTTTAAAATTCAATTATTTCTAAAAATTCACGTTATAATACTTTCTCTATAAATTTGAATTAGCAAAAATGTTTATACTAATTGGAATTAGTGATTGACTTTTTGCTTTTGAATTAGTAAATTTTACTATTTTTAAATTCATTTGTTTACAATTCAATTTTATAAAATTTTAATTATTCGGAAATTATTCAGTTAAATATAAATTAGAAAATAAAAAACATCAAATACTTTTTTGAAAAAATCCGTAATTAAACTTTTAAAAAAATTATTTCCACAGAATTGTTAGTTAAAATTTAAAGAATTTCATCAACAAATTTTTAAATAGGTAATTAAAATTCTTTTGACGAATTTCAATAACATTTTTAAGAATAAATTCTTTTTTCGAGAAATTATATTAAAATTGTATTAAAAATAATTGAATCTCTGTAAAAAAAATTTGATTAAATTAAGAAAAGTTTTTAAAAATAATTGAAATTTTGCCAAGAATTTTATTGAAATTTTTGAAAATAATTAAATTTTGGACTAAAAAACTGTGACTAAACTGTGAATTCAGCCTACAATATAGGTCTTATTTTAGATTTTAGCAAAAACTGGTGGAATTTTTTGATTAACTTATAATACAATAATTAAATTTCTACAAACAATTGACAAACATTGTTCTCTGCATTTTAATTAATTAAAAACAAATTATTTGATGATAAAAAGTCAATCACTGATTTAAAATATGTAGTTATATTTTTCTAATGAAATAGTTAATGGTAGCTAATTATTATTTTTTCCGGTCAAATTAAATTCCCCTCTATTTTCCATTTTTCGAGACTGGTAGACACACTATTGAATGTATTTGTAGAAACTAAAACCTGTCGAAGACGGGTACGACAGCTAGTTATTTATAAAGATAATGGAAATTTAGAAGAGAATTTTTTAAAACTTTTCACCATTATTGAATTTCTGTGAAGAATTTTATTACTTTTCGACCATAATATTGAATTCTTGAGAAGAATTTTTTAAAAATATCTAATATTGAATTCTTTTGTGAAATCTTATTGAAATAGTAGATATTGAAAATAATTGAATTTTGATAAATTATTGAAATTAATTAAATTTCTACGAAAAATTCCATTAAAATTATTTTGAAAAAAATTGAATTCTTTCAAGAAATTCAATTAAAAATGTATTGAAAATAATACTAAAATTATAATAAATAAATTGTAGCAAAGGTTTTTAAAATAATTGAATTTCTTTGATAAATTTTAATAAAATTTTTAAGAATAATAACTTTTTTCGAGGAATTCCATTAAAATTGTATTAAAAATAATTGAAATTCAGCTACGAGTTTTATTATTTATGAAAATAATTGAATCCCTGTAAAAAATATTATTATTTATGAAAATAATTTGTAAATAATTGAATTCCTGTGAAATTTTTATTATTTATGAAAATAATTAAATTGCGTAGAATTTTATTAATTTTTTTTTCATCTAATTGAATTCTTTTGGGAATTTTTATTAAAGTAGTAGATATTAAAAATCATTAAATTGAGTCAAGTTTTTTAAAATAATTAAAATTATGCCAAGACTTTTATTAGAATTTTTGAAAATAATAATTCCCTGACTTTTCCAGGTTTTCTGAAAGTATCAAGTTTTTGGTGAATATTCATATATATAGTACTGTTGCCTTCGATAAATTAAATTCGACAAATCAAGAAGCGATTTAAATTAAATTAGAAATTGCAGTTACGTAAAGATGCAATTTTCGTTTGTGCTTCGCGAAAAGACACCTACACGCGAACTTTGGGGGATGGCGACGAAAGGGAACCACTTAGCCGAAAACTGTAAGAAGCCTGGAAGTCAGCAGCAATTCGGCAGACGCCACTGGCGCCAGCGGACTACCTTAACCCCATCCCACGGCAATCTCATTCCCCAAAAGCGTCGCAAGAATTATAAAGTTGGTGGAGGAGAGCTCTGGTCTTGCCGAATCCCTCCACCTCTCACCTTTCGCGTCGTTCACTTCCACCCCCTTTCCTCCATCTTTCTTCTTGCTCCGAAAGAGATTCGAGCAAACCGCGACCAACCGCAGCCAGTCCATCTTTCAAGATTCTTGATCATTTTCGTTTCTTCTCGCTCAACGCCCCCTTCTCCCAATTTCCTTGTCTTTCCTCCATCCATTTTTCCTTCTCTCCACTCACACCCCCGCAAATCGAGTTCTGCTTTGGAAAACTGTAACGTCTATAACTTTCGAGATGCCACGTTAACCCATCGCCACCAAAACCCACAAGACTGTCGATCGATACATACTTCACTTTGAAACATGAATGTATAACGCTCGAGATAACTTGAGTCGTAGCGGCGAGAGATATTGGTCCTGGTTCCGAGACGATCTAAATCTTAAAGAAGTGGAGTAACGAAAGCAAAGCGCTCGCCGTCTTTCTTTTCCCGTTACTTTCAGACTTGATTCCAACTTAATAAATTTGGATTAAGGTAAAACGCCCAGTTATCGCCGGCTAGTACATTTTCCTTGCTTTTAAAATTGTCTATAAAGTTTCACAAAGTCTGAGTTGAAAGCAATTATTATTCATTTAATCAAGTCTTGAAAGCTCTCAATGCACTCGCCTAATCCTGGGGAGACTAACAAATATTTCTTAAAATTTATCATAGCTTCCGGTTCAATTTATTTACATATTATCAAACAATACTCTCCCCAATTTTTTTATTTTCTGTTTTTCCATTTTGTAAATTACGGTTTTTTTTAGAAAAAGTACTGTACATTTTCTTGCTAAATATTAAATCTTTCTATTTCCTTCTCTAAATACAAGAAAGTCATCAAAATATCATTGACTGCATGCACTGAAAAAAATTCCTAGATTGTTCACAATGATTTTTTCATGTAATAACTAGTTTTACCATTAATTTTAACGGTTAACTGATGATTAATCATTGTCAAATAGTCTAAAAATTGTTTTCAGTGTGCGGTGTAATTGTACTATTTTCTAAATAATATTAAATATGGATAATAATGGAGATTGGTCCACTTACCGTGAAGGTGAGCCTGAGTCGTGTTGTGCAAAATATCACGATCATACGGCGACGGAGGAGTCGAGGGTAGAGGAATCCACTGCTAGTGAACCCAGGAAGGTGGCGCGGCAGGAGTTGCCGCGTTGGTACTGGCGTAAACTCCAGCCGAACTGGCGTTACTCGTTACGGTAGATACGCTACCACTCGGGGACGTTACACTTGGAATAATATCATCATCACTCACTTGACCCGTAGGGGCGCCAAGCATACCCTGCTGAAAGTTAAAGTCCAGTGTTCCGTCCATCGACAGTTCATGCTTTATCACCTAATTCACAGATCAAATCGATTATGTTCTCATCTTTTTACTGTTTTACCATCATCCTTACCATATAGGCAAAAAACTATGTTTGTTCCAAAAACGTTCTTATAAAGTTTTTAGAACATTTTATGTTCGCCAAAGTTCATTGTTTGAACATATCACGCCTTGGTTTAATGTTTATACTGGACATGAACGATATTAAACCCATATTTTCAAGCATTCTTTGTTTTTATAAAAACTAAATTCCCAACCTTCCAAGAGCATACTCCTCGGATTTACAATTGGATCTGAGGAGTCTACAAGAATGGTGTAATAGTAATCATACAAGTATAAATATAAATAAAAGTTATCTTGTATCGTTCACTAAGGGTAGAGTTAATTTAAATAACTATACTCTTGATAGGCGTGTTTTAGAAAGAATGACAAGGGTGTATTAGTGTTTAATAATATGATTACTGTTAAAACCTTGTACCAGACACTTGTTAGATCCATGATGGTCTCCTTTCTATGTTTTCAATATATAATCAGACTTGAACGTGTTCAAAATAGATTTCTCAGATTTGTTGCAAGATTGCTTAACATTCCTTTTGATTTTCATACACATGACTACAAAGAGTTAAGGGATATAAACGTTCTAAAAACGTTTTAAGAACGTTTTTGGAACGAACATGGTTCTTTACCCGTAGGGTACTTTCTTATCTTTTTACTGTCACTATAGATAGTAGTAGTGATAGTACACTGGAGCTTCACTTATTTTAACCAGGTCCATAAAAATCGACAAGCGCAGAGTCGCACTTTTTTCAACTCTGCGACGTAATATTCGGGTGGATTCTTCAACATCAACCAATAGGAATGCACGGAGAAAGTTTCAAGTTAAATCAAGTTAAATCAAGTGCGACTGCAATCAAATGAGACTGAAAATAAGTGAAGCTTAAATGTAGTCTTACGATTAAAAGATGATTGCTAAATACCTCATCAACATTGCAGTCGAAACCTTGTAGCGTTTCAATGTTGATGTTGAGATCATCGAGGAGAGCCGAATTGTTTAGGGCCCCCATAATTTGGCCCATTATCGTGCTGGGTTTAGGCGATTCCGGTGGACTTGGACCACCGGGTCCCGATTGTGCGTGCGTCTGCTGTTGTTGCTGCTGTTGTTGTTGTTGTTGTTGCTGCTGCTGCTGCTGCTGCTGTTGACGCTGTTGTGACTGTAGTAGGAATTGAATGGTTTGCTGCTGCTGGGAGCTAAGTGTCGAAGGACTAGGTTCACTCTGCTGTTGGTATGAAGGCGACATACCAGACACAGGACTCAGATTCTGAGAATCAAGATAAAACAAAAGTTAAAATCTGACTGACACTCGACAATTATTGATGTTACTGACCATTTGGCAGGCACAGGGTTGTAGACGGTGAATTGGACATCTTTGTTGATTCGTCGGTTGAGGTGTGGGTGGTAGACCATAGGGTGTGCTGTTTGTTCGAAGCGAGTTATTCCTCTGGTACTGAGCTTCGAAATAAGAGGGTGGTGGGCCAGTCTGCTGTTGGTGTGGTGGTGACGTCTGGTACATCTGGTAGGAGTCGATTTTCATCGTTTCTGCTAAACTTCCAGCTGTATCGAGTGCAAAGGTACGTTATGAAAAAGAAGCATCGAAAATGTTGGTTGCTTTCAAACTGAATAGCATACCTAATTGCTCTGGACTGTACGAATAACTCGGTGGCCAATCTGATTCACTAATGGCAGCAGGTATCGGACTCAATCTTCCACAGGAGGATGCGTTGCTCGAAGCCCGAGGTCTTTTGAAAAATTATATATTTTATTGTTTTAGAATAGATAATTGATTTAGTTATTAAAAAAAAGAAAGGAACGGATAGACGAATATAAAATTGATGAATGAATTTTGAAAATTAAAAAACAACACAGTTTAAAAACATTCTTCATGCAGATGATTATTATGGGGATGATCTTCAAGTGATAAAATCGAAAAACGATGAAGGAAAGCACAATTCGAAGGAGTTGAACGCGTACCGGAAGTCTGGTGATAGTTGAAAGCCGCTCGCTGGATGAAGGGGACTGTCTGGAAAGAGATCCAAGCCCTCGCTGACGCTGCTGCTGGGGCTGGGGGTTGCGTCCGCCTGCAAACTTCCGTTCCTCAACGCTTCAACCTTCTTCTTTACTCGACCTCGCCTCTTCTCGAACTTGCTTGTCTCCATTGACGTCGCTCTAAACGACAATCGAAATCATTGTCACTTACCTACTTCTACTCTTCAACTTTCATGTCTGCTTCAAGATTCAAGAAATTTCATTCAAGTGTACACAAATCTTCCGACTAAATTGTCAGAAGTTTAAGTCTTAAAGTATTAATTTCAAGCTAATGCTTTTAATTTACGCTATGAATTCATAGCTTCAGAATTTTCTTTACTTTTTCCAATTCTTTTTTAAAATGCAATCATAAAATCACATAATCCATTAAAAATTATTTCTTAGACCATTTTGAAAAGAAAACATGAAAATAAAAGTATTTTAAAATATTTTTCCTCTTATTTTCTTTAGCATTATTTCTAAAGTATGAAAATTCATAAATTGCATACCTTCTTCTAGCAGACTTTCCAGGTTTCGCATCAGGATTAATCATCCACCAGGAACTTTTTCCAGTGCCTTCGTTTTGTACTCTCATAAATCGATTGTGCAGTGAAAGATTGTGTCTTATTGAATTCTGAAACAAGAGAAAAAACAATATAATTACAAATTGAAACAGTTGCTAAATTATTTATTTTACGATAAGTCACGTTTCACATAAAATTTCCAACTTCATCAACGGTGCCATGACCCTGATGGAAGAATTTAAATGTTTGAAATTGGTGGGATCCCCGAGTCCAATTACATATATTATGCAGCTTAAAAGCCCTCTGACGTAATGCGACCGAGAACTGCAATTGAAAATCAACTGACGTTTTAAGTCGCATACTCCAATACAAGGGACCTTTAGTTATGGTCGATTAATTTCAATTTAAATTCAATAAAATTAATGCTAATAAAATGCCAATTTAAGAAATTAAATCAATGGAAATACATTTTCAGAGTTGCCCCAAAAATTTTATTTTGTTTTCCTATGACTTTTCCCTGATTTCCAGACGAAATTTTTTACTTTGAATATTCTGCTTCACTCTAAAAATTATTAGATACCAGAAACATGTTCTACCTAATACATTTATTTTCCAATTTCTTTGTAAAATTATTCGAAATTAAGATTTCCAAAAATATCAAATTAAAAACTTTTTGAAATTCAACAACTTGGAAGAATATTATTTATTAATAATAAAAATTTCAAAATTATTTAAAAAAAATTTTTTTTAAATAAAAATGTATAAATATACAACTTGAAGATATTGATCACTCAGAGTCTTTGACTCGTAGTGCTCGCTTTCTTCATGTTTTATAATAATAATTAAAGATGACCGAGTGATAAAATCATTATTTTCTATTATAAGAATATTGCTTCTCTAACTTTTTCCAAATTATTTTCATCACTTCAATTAAATTACTATTTTCCATAATTTTCAACTAAAATCCTTCTATAACTACATTATTTTTAATAATTAATTAAATATATATATATATATATATATATATATATATATATATGTCGTAGGCAGATAGCAGAATCCGGCAGTATGCAAACTACCTAGGCAGTTTGTAAACCGCGGGCAGTTAGTAAAATACCTAAATTTGAATGTATGAAAACAGGCAATATGCAAAATGCCTAGGCAGTTTACATACTGCCAAAGACGTTTCAGGCAAATAGAAGAATGTATTGAAAGTCGCAATACTCAATATTTAAAATATGAAAATATTATTGACAGTAACCGAAAATTGTAATTGATTAAGATTTATTAATATAGCATGTACAAAATAAACTAACATAATATTGATAGAATTTATTGAAAATAATACTATTGTTTCTTCCATTTATATATTACTGAATTATTTGGGCCCTAATTATAATTAAGTATATATAAGTATATATACTTATATATACTTATATATAAGTATATATACTTTACTTTGCAATTATCGTTCTTAGACTTCAGATTGTCTATCTATAATTTCTCAATTACGTTTATTCTTATTAACCATTTTTGAAAATGGAAGAAAGTGCAGTGAACGAGATGCAATTTCAAGAGAAATTAATATTAGCTTTTAAACAGCAAAGTGGAGCAAGAGCAATGTGGGATAGGGCACGGTTAGACAGTGTTAAATGCGGATCAAGATGTCACAAATCTATAAATTGTTGCAACAAGTAATAACAGGATAAAAGTTGTATTTCCTTTAGAATAAGTTATTCTAATTAAAAAAATTTGCGACTTTCAATACATTCTTCTATTTGCCTGAAACGTCTTTGGCAGTATGTAAACTGCCTAGGCATTTTGCATATTGCCTGTTTTCATACATTCAAATTTAGGTATTTTACTAACTGCCCGCGGTTTACAAACTGCCTAGGTAGTTTGCATACTGCCGGATTCTGCTATCTGCCTACGACATATATATATATATACTAGGGGGGCTTCGCCCCCCTGCGCGCTTCGCGCGCCAACCCCCTAACTATTTTTAATATTTATTTTAATTTTTAAAATCATGTTATCTTAATATGATGGGATAGTAATGAGTTAGAAAAAATTATAACAGGAGATATTAAAAAAGATAACTAATAGAGAATTCTACTTTACGGAAGTGATTATAGTGTCAACTTTTTCAAGTTTGACACTCCTCATAGTAAATTTGATAATTCTTTTTTCTCAGTGTCAAAAGTATTATTGGGCCCCTTTTTACCTGCAGTTGACATAAATGTTGACGTAATGTAAGGGCCATTAGGGGCTGTCCATAAATTACGTAAGTCATTTTTTGGGTAAATTTGACCCCCTTCCTCCCTCGTAAGATATTTTACATACATTAGCGCCATTTTTCCTATTGTTCGCAAGATCTTGCTGACCCCCTTCCCCCCTAAATGTCTTATGTAATTTATGGACGGACTAAAGATTTCGACGTAAAATAATAGACGTTTGTGGGCTTCATTTTTACCCGTAGGTCAAAACTGACCTTAAAATTGACCTAAATTTTAAGGAAACAGTAGGTCAAAAGGAATTTTCTTGTCAATTTTTGACGTGTAGGTCAAAACTGACCTTAAGATTGATCTAAATTTTAAGAAAATATCAGATCAGAGGGAGATTTCTGGTCAAATTTTAACTTGTAGGAAAAAACTGCCATTAAAGTTAAAGTACATTTTGAGGACAGAAAAATAATTTTAATAGAATTTTAAAAAAAAATATGTCAATTTATAACATCTTTTATTGATTGAAACTTAATATTGAAATTTAGGTCAAACTTCTTTTAACCAATAGGTCGAAAATTCCGTCAAACTTTACACGGAGAGAAGAGTTGCAGTAAATGTGACAGAACGCGTTTAGTAAATCATTTAGTGCACCGGTTAGTGGCGCCAACTGTATGTTTAGTATAATACACTACGACACCTCTCTGTTTAGTAGAATATACTGTTTGCTCAGTGTATCTTACTATCTTACTAAACAGTGCAGTAGATGGCACTGTCTGTACCGTCAGTCCAAACCTAACGATTCTGTTTAGTAGATTTAACTGCCATGTCAGTAGAATCTACTACGCCCTTCTCTCCGTGTATAATATAAGGGTACGATTTTTTAAAAAATCCTAATTAATTTGCTTTTTTCATGTATAGGCTAAAAAATATGTCAAATTTGACCTAAATTTTAAGGAAAGGTCAGGTCAGAGGAAGTTTTTTCGACAATTTTTGCGGTGTAGATGAAAACTGACCTTAAAATTGACCTAATTTTTGAGGGCAAAGGGAATTGTTCGTCAATTTTTTCCGTTAAGGTCAAAACTGCCCTTAAAATTGACCTACATTTTTAAGGTAAAGGGAATTGTTTGTCAATTTTTTACCTCTAGGTTAAAACTGCCCTTCAAATTAACCTAAATTTTGAGAGCAGAGGGAATTGTTTGTTAATTTTTGACCTGTAGATTAAAACTGCCCTTAAAATTGACCCACATTTTGAGGTCAGAGGAAATTATTTGTAAATTTTTAACGTTTAGGTCAAAACTGCCCTTAAAATTGACCTACATTTTGAGGGCAGAGGCAATAGTTTGTCAATTTTTTACCTGTAGGTTAAATCTGCCCTTAAAATTGACATAAATTGTACGGGCAGAGTAAAACGCAATTTTTAACGCTTAGGTCAAAACTGCCCTTAAAATTGAACTAAATTTTGAAAGCAGAGCGATAAGTTTGTCCATTTTTAACTTTAAGTCATAACTACTCTTAAAATTGACTTAAATTTTGAGGGCAGAGGGGTTAGTTTGTTAGTTTTCTACCTGTAGGTTGAATCTGCCCTTAAAATTGACCTAAATTTTGAGTAATTTTGGCCTGTAGGTTAAAACTGCCCTTAAATTGACCTGAATTTAGGTCAAATATAACTTGTTTCTGACGATGGACCTACCTTGACAGTGGGCCAACCTTGACTATGTTCCCCCTACTATAAGGGTCCCTTAAAACTTTCTGAAACAGCGGCGGCGGCGATATGATTTTATATTAATAGGGATAGATATGTATATATATATTAAAAAAATTTAACTAATTTCAAAAGAATTTAAATTATCAAAATTTTTCAAAAAACCAAATTCTTTAAAATGTCTAATTAAATTAATTGAAAATTAAAATTTTTTAAAAGTAAAAATAATTGAAATTCTGCAAAGAAATTTATCAACATTTTTAAGAATAATTGAATTCTGATATTTTTATTAAAATTGTATTAAAAAAATTTAATTCTTTCCAAGAATGTAAAATAATTGAAATTCTAACAATAAATTTATAAAAAAATTAAAGCATAATTGAATTTTTTTCAGAAATTTAATTGAAAATAATTGAAATCATGCGAAAAATTCAAAATAGGGGAGAGTGGGGCAAAATGGCGTAGGCGGGTCAAATGGGGTACCTCTATAATTTTTCCATGATAGTTATTTTTAATTTTCTTATCCTTGATATATATCATTCATATTGATAAGAAACTGTTATTAATTATAAAGACACTACAAAAAAAAATTTTTTTTTTTAAAGTTATACCTACAACTTTAAAGTTTTAAGCAAAAAAAATATGAATATTTATCAAAATTAAAGTGCATACAAAACTTTTTGTGATAATGCATTTAATTTGGCAAGTGTGGGATCTTTTTCAGCATCTATAGTAATTTCCGATAGAATAGATTGTTAAATTGTTAACAATAACTTGGAAACATTGCATTTTGTTTAATATGCAGTGTGGGGCATACCTACCGGTGGCTACGCCGTTTCATTGAATTATTTAAAAACATTATATTATATGCATATTTAAACATTTCCCGTAGAAGAATCGATATTTTTGTTACGCGGCATTTATACTATCGATATATCGATATTTTGCAATAAATCCATGTTTTTTTGTTAAATTCTAATAAATATTAGGTACTTGTTTTTTCATAGTAATAAAGAACCCTACTTTTTGTTTGTAATATTTATAATCTCACACAACAAGAATTAAATGAATTTTGAAAAAATATTCCATGTTTTGTGTAGTTATTTGATACCACCCCATTTTGCCCCACGGGTGGTGCAAAATGGGGTTTTAGCACTTTCTCAGAAAATACGATATGTTATTT